TAGTGTTGAGTGGTACAGAAATTTCACTGAAGTAATCATAAATGCTGTTTCTTGATGGTTATCACAGATTTATTTTGCTGAAATAACAAGTTCAGTGTAAACAGAGACCTAACAGTCTACAAACACCAGCAATACTGATGGCTCTACGATTTACTCAGTCCACCCACAGTACTACCTCTGGGGAGATCTAATCAGTTCCAAATGACTCCAGTGGGAAGTGCTGGAATACGGGGCACCCACATCTGCTCTGCAGCCTGTACACGCTAAAAGGAAAAGCAGTCAAGACTTCTGCTAGACAAAAACATGTGACTGATTCTACAATCTCAGATTTAAAGAAAAGTCAGCCATCCCAGATCAAAGTGGACACTTGGCCAGAAAGTCCTGCCTGCTAAGGAATTTTATGCACTTGTGTTCATTCTTCCGTTTATAGTAGAATCCTTTAAGAACTATCATGTCATTCTATAGCTGAAGCTAATTTAATTTTCCTTGATGCATTCACCCCTGAAAGGCAATCTTTGTTTCTTCCTCAAGTTGGAAAGCTAATAATATTTTGAAGTTCTTTCACTGGCCTGGCTTTTCCACAATGGCTATCTTCAGAGCCCCCTAGAAACCAAGGACAGGAAAATATGTGCTAGGTTTGCCTGTGGCACTTAAGTAACTCAATATAGTAATCCCAACCTAGCCATTCAAACTCCCTTCCCTTTTAGTACACTTCGATACACTCACAGTGATGTGCCCATCCCTTAGTTTTCCTTCATTTGTGGCTCTGCTTACATGAATCTCCTTTTTGGAAAACATTCTGCTTACTTCCTTTCTCTGACTACCTAGGTTTTGTAATTTTCAAAAATCAGATCCAATCCCTGGTTGTCTAATGGTCTCTGGAGGGTGCAGCGTCTTCTAAATTTCTATAGTGTTAATTTATTATTGGCAATGTGAATTTTGCATCCATCACTGATTCATGCTGTTAGATCTATTTTGCTGCTAAATATTTTCTTTTGCCACCTAACTTAAGTTTCTTCCAAGCATGGCTGCGAATTATATATCCTTGTGTTTCCATAAGGACGTTAGTGGTTAGTTCATACACATTGCAGTTTAAGGGCTATCTGATCAATAATATTTAGATAAGATAGAGTATTCTACATAAATCAAATCATAGAAGTTGTTGGATTTATTTTGGAGATAATTTTGCAGTTTTCCAGTATGGAGACATATTCACTGTGTTCTCAGAACCCACATCAATGTGTGTTGTGCATATGACTGGTGATTTACATCCAGAAAATATATATAAGTGAAAATTCACTGAAAGCTTATACCCTATATTGATTATTTTTGAATGTTACATTTTGGTGATCAAAAAAATTTGTTTTAAAAAACTAACTTTAATCAGGGTATAGTGGAGAACATGGATTCTTGAACTTATTTAATACTGAGAGGAGAGGGGCACCACAGGCTACCAATTCTTGATGTCTCTCTGAAGCTACCTGCACTGTTACAATGGGAGAAAATCCTTTTTAAATATAAAAACTGGTCAAATAATTCATAATGTTCCTTTCTTGAAAAACTACAACTAATATATTTTGTCCTTTCTTTTTAAGTTGCTCAAGAGTAAAGAATGAAAGGCATTAGCCAGGCCCTTAATCCCAGCACTCCTGAGGCAGAGGCAGGTACACCTCTGTAAGGTAAAGGCCAGCCTGGTCTGCCTAGCAAGTTCCAGGCTAGCCCAGACTAAAGGGAGACTCTGTCTCAAAAAGGCAAAAATAAACAAATAAAAAACAATGAGAGGTATCAGGAAAATAGGAATTCTATCACATGTAAAAGTAGATTACCCATTAAATTCACAAACGTCAAGGAGGGCCAAGAATAGCCTAAATCCTAAGTCCCTGAGTACCATATTATCCCTAAATGTGGCAAGAAGAAATAATTTTAAATTATTAAGTTACTTATTTGCAATAACTACTCACCAATATTTGGCCTCCTAGATGTCTCTATCAAAGACAAGTTATATCTTTGAATCCATAATGGAGACAGTCACTGAACCCACTATTTGTTTTTCTCTTGCAATTCTTGTACTTAGAAGGTAAGGAAATCTTAAGAATACCCTCTTCCTTGGCTGAGCATAGTAGTACTTGCATGCAATCCCAGCACACAGGAAGGAGGCTGAGGCAAGAGGATCATCAAGAGTTCAAGGCCAGCCTGGGCTACATAGTGAGGTCATCTTTAAAAAAAGTAGCCACACCTCCCTTAGAAAAAATAACTTATTAGCCTAAAACTATTATTCTTTAATCTTCCTGCCAAACTTTTCATTCTCTGGCCAGAACTTCAAGTCCTACTAGCTCCTATCATCAAACTACTTTTTGAAGAAACGTCCAATTCCCTATGAAAATAGATTGATCTAAAATCAACAGGGGATTTTAAAATCAATTTCAAGGGGGAGAAATCATTGAATTGATTCTAAGAAACACAATATATTAAAAATTCTCAGAGGTTATTACCCATCCTTTCCGTTTGATGACCTTGTCCCATTGGATGTGAGATTGGGTTGAAGAAATCAGTCCAGGAAACATCCTCTTGACTCTGTGTTGTCATCCTTTGACTTGGATGGTTGTGGACTGAGGCTGCTGTGACCATGCAGTTCAAACAGTTATCAAAGTGTTAGTTGACATATGGCCAGGGATAGATAGAGTGATTTTTTTAAAAAAAAAGACTTTATTCTCTACACAAGACAATGAAACTACCTTTCTATTACTGAGAGCAAATAAGTTGCGTCAATTCAGAAATGCTTTCCCAGACTTGGCTTCACTTATGCTCATTCACTTGGCAATCAGCATGTGAGCTGGAGGACACATAGCACTGCAGCGGATAGTGAATGAGATGTAGGCATCAAGGGAAAATGAAGAAGCGGTTCTTAATGCATGCTGCCACAGTTCCCTAAAGAAGTAAGTACAAGAGCTCAAGAGCATGATGTCATTCTGAATCAACCGCATCCCAGCGAAATGCACAAGGAGCTAGCATCAGGTAAGAGCTTCCCAAGTGATGAGTACGAAAGAAAGTGCCACTCATCACAAAAGCATGAATGGGGTCCATTAGAAGCATTACCTTCTGATAATGAGTTTAGGGCATAAATGACGTATGAGCATGTAGTTTATGCCTTTGGTTGATTCCTTGTCAATGGAGAAGTACAGGAAGCAAGGTTGCAATAGCATCCCTTAGCAACAAATGCACCACAGAACTAGTCACTGAATCCATTGTTCTACTGGCCATTAATTTACAATCTGCCATGCACTGGAAAGGGTTTTACGCATTGTATTCTATATTGCAGATGGAAACATGGAGATATTTCCTACTGATACCCGCAAGAATGTAGAATTCACACCATTTACACGGCAGGATGAATCTCAATGCTTAAGTCACACAGACAAAAGAATCACGCACAGGAGATGCAGAGACAAGTTATCAGCTGGCATCCCTCAGAGATTTAAGTTTATTTTTCACAGCCCCACAATATAAGGATGGAGAAGATGGCTTATTTATAAATGAGAGAAAGCAGCCATACACTCAAGAAGATATTGTCTAACAGACATGAACAAAAAGTCAGAGGACATCAGACAGGTGCCATTTTTTTTTCATAATACTTGGATGCATTTTTCAAACACTGGAGTTCCGATAAAATTCTGTCTTATAAGCCTAGTGTTTCACAGAATTATAAAGGCAGACTCAAATTATATAGTAAGTACTTTTACAAAACAAAAATGAGTTTTTCATTAGAGTCTCTGTGTCAGTCTCACTGGGAAATGCCTAAAACTAGGTCTGAAAGTGATGCACTAAGTAACAAATTACCTGTTTCTTTTATGTGTTTCTATCTATGCCTGGCCAGGGGACTTGTTAGGAGCATCTTAAGTTTGGGTCTACATTGACTTCAATATGATTTCTTAAGAAACCTAATACCTTATGATAATTCCTTCAGCGTTCTTTTGTGCAGAGTCCTTAATGCGCAACATTTAATTCAAAAGACAGTATCCACCCATATTTGCCTGTTCAACCATCCATTACCAGTTGTCCCTGCTGTTGCATGGGAGTCTTCACTTGGTGTTTGGGGATATCTCCCATGCCATCCGTTCCCAAACCACTTGTCTTTCTGTGTAGCTGTTTCTTCTGTTGTCCTACTAGGAGTTGCCCAGGCTGTGAGGAAAACACCAATGTAAGCCATAATTGTCTAAGTTCCTCAACAAACCCCTGTTATATACCTTTTTGTTTTAAGGACCTAGAGAGAGACAAATTGATGTGTAATGAACAGAGAGAGAGAGAGAGAGAGAGAGAGAGAGAGAGAGAGAGAGAGACATAAGCCACTGGTATTCTGAAAGTGATATTAGAAACAAAATATTCAATCTTCAGTTTTCCAGAAGAGAAAACTAGGCCCCAAAGATTTTTATTTGCTGAAAATCATGTTGTTAGAATAGCACAAAGTCAGGACTGGACCCTAGCCTATGGACTCCCAACATCAATCTTTACTATAGTCTATGGCCTCACATACCCTAGTAGAGCTTTTGTTCAAAGAATAACCTCTTTGTTACAGTGACTTTCTAGGGGGAATATATTGCATAACAACTCACAACAATATTTACAGTGGGACAATTTCTCAAACGGGTCACATAACCTATAATCACACTCACGAGAAATGTACCAGCATGCCAGTTGTTGTTGGGATGCCTAGGATGTTACTACACAGACCTGCTAGATGTTGTGTCAAGGGACATGTAAAATTGCTAGAGTCACATCTTAACAAAGTTAATTCAACGGCAGAAAAACTACGTGAGCCAGTGGGGCATTATATAAATAATAACAGTGTAAGGCAGGCTTAATTCTTCAAGCTTTGTTCTACAAAGACGAAAATGAATGGAATGAAACCCCACCAGGGTGCATTCTAGAAAAGTCAAAAAGCCACTGATATTTTCATTTATAGCAACTCACAGCAAATTTCTGGCTCACTACGAAAATTAGAGCTTATAAATTGCCATATCAAATTAATTTTCATGCTTTATAAAATTCATTGCACTTCATTATTTTATAAAATGATGTTTGTGATTTTACAATGGTAAATTCATTTTTAAAGTGAAACTCATAGAACAGGGATAAGAAGAGGACACTAACGAATCTCTCAGTTCTCAATAATGAAGCTTCCTCATGCAGTGGAGTGGAGGGCCGGGAATACAAAAGGTCACAAATAGCCAAAGTGTACAGATCAAGAGTCTGCTGAATGATGATCCTTGGACAGGACCCCTTTATTAAACTTCACCCACCCAAGGCTCAGGGACCATTGTAGAAGAGGGGGCAGAAAGATTATAAGAGCTAGGGAAAAGATGCATTACCATATGGAAATAGAGTCCTGCAAGCTCCTGGGAACCTGCTCATATGATTCTGTGGCAATGGTGTCAGCATACACAAGTCCCATGCAAACTCAGGCAGACAATAACCCAGCATAGAACTGGGAAAATGAACAGCAGACCCCAATCATATCTAAAGGAATGTTGGCAACTGATTGCTGCTAGATGAAGAAGAGCTGATCTTCCTAAAACAAGGGACTCTAGATAGGCTTACTATCTAGATTTGCACCGGGGAATGGTTGGGGACACTGATGACCCAGTGGGCCTTAACAGGGATGACCGAGTACATGGGCTCCAGTGAGGGGGTATGGGAGGGAGGCTATGGGAGGGTGCCAGTGGGGATGGGAGCATAAAGATGATTGGGCTGTTCTTTATGAAATACACAAAAATTTCAATAAAAATGAAATTCATGCTATTTTTACCTTTTCATTTGGGATTAACTGATCAAAGGAAGGAAAACCAAAATCTTAAATATTGTTCTCATTGGTTAAAATAAAGTTTATAAAATAATTAAATTAGAAAAACCTCTGAATATAATGATCAAAAATGAAAAACTAAAAAAAAGACTGCCATGTTACTCAAAGTTTGAAAAGTAAAGAAGTATGTTTATGAGCTCATAAACACACACATTGCATTCCTGCTGTATTTCTTATATAAGCAGAAAGACCCTTCAAGTGCTCATCACTCCCTGATGTTTTCAGTTAGTCTAGAAGGAGTTAACAGAATCTAGGATTTCTATTGCAAACTGTGAAGGCTGACTCTCTTTCAGAAGTTGTAACGTCTACTGATAGAGCCTAGAGGTCACCAATCTGAAATTTTGCAAGCATTGCTGATGCCATCTCTCTGTTAACTATATCTGGATTCTCAAATATTCCTTAGTTAACGATGCCCCCAAACTGTCATATTTTGACACTGGATTCATTAATTCCAAGCCTCTTAAGCAGTTTTCTGCTTAAGCACACCCCCCCCTTTTTTTTTTATAATAATCTATAAGATATTGTTAGAACCCAAGGGGACTGGGAATAAGTTCAATTCTGAAAGACTATATTTTCCTCTCTATTTTGTTCCTCTTTCAGAATACTTCGCAAACTCAGTCCCTAACTTTATGCATTCATCAAATCTATTGGTGTAAGTAATCGGATGTAATTCCTGTTGAACTTTCAGGACATGTCCTATGTTTTAAACTTTTCTTTGATTGTTTGAACACATCCATCAAATCAAGGATTCCAGACTCCTTTGGTTCCTAAGTATCTGTTTCTCACATTTTTCCCTTAGGAGTGAAAGTAGTGGTTGAATCACATTTTTTAAAATGCTACAAGCTGTTATCTCAAATAACAGTTTACTTTATTCCAAATAAGATAAGCATCTCTCAGAGACACAAAGGAAAGAATACATCTCACTTTTCCTTTTTTTCTTGTCCTCTCTTCATAGTCCAGTGGTGAAACTTGAGATTATTTTTAGACAACCTGAGATATTTGTGCATAAGTAGAAATAATGGTAAGAGCAGCAAAGCCTTTCCTGTTACCTTGAATTTTAGAACAGAAGAGTGGCTTAGAGTTTGAATAGAGACCATATGAGCTACTCACTGTCTACCAAAGATATAAGTGATGCTATTCTATCAGAGAGAGGAAGAGAATGTAAGAAAGAAACTGGGTATATCAGAAGATGAAGATTCCAAAGATCTTTCTACCTGTGAACCTTTCCCTCCAGGCCCTTCTTACCGATACCTGAAGAACATACTCCCCCCAAATTGCCATAAGCACACATGAACCACCCAAGAACCATCCAAATAAAGCCTTTAGGAATCATTAACACAAAAACAGCATCTCAGCATGCTGAACAAGTTGGCATTTTTCTTTGAATTTCTAAGAGTTACATGCAGCGTTGGCCCCTTTCAAGTTCCACACATGAAAACAAAATTATTGTGCAGAGACAAAAGAAGTAGCCAACAGCTAAGCAACATCCAGTAACCTGGGTAAACAAGAACTGCAGACCATCATCCTTCTTACTTGAACTTGGAGCCTGAGGGGTTTCCTCTTCATCCTGATGCTCATGGTGAATGAAAGGAGGCTGTGGTTCCTGGGTCTGGTTTTCTCCATGAGCAATGGTGCTGTTTCTGTCTACATCTGTTGTGATGATGGTTAAGTACAGTATGATATTTATCAAACAGTCTTTAATGATTTTCTTCTTTCACTAAAGTGACTGCTATCTACTGGTTCTATGCCTAAACACTACCTCTGAACACTTTCAATAAACATGAGTGATTTCATTAATCTGTCCCAAGAGAAAATGAATGAGCACAAAATTTCTTTGAGACTGTTATACCCCCATAATGATCTCATCAGAGACAGTACCATAAACCATTCAAACATAATCATTTTTACAACAAATTGATATGAAATACCTTGTGCCCAAGTGGCATGATTGATACATGACTCCCATAGGGAATAGAATATCTTCATGAAAGCTCACTAAAGATGTGTGATGAGACATTAATTAAATTTCCCACTGTGTCCCAGTGTTTGACCTTCATAGCATCACAGGCTTTGAGAAGAAAGTATCTTTAATTAAATGTGCATAACTCATTACCAGTGATCCTGTTGGTTGTCTGAAGCAGTACTTCTGGATTTGAAGGGCTTGGTCTCCACTGGGTCCAATCCTGGTTCTGTTTTGTGTGGTCAGAAACCCGTGGAGTGGATGAAACTGTGATAATGATGATTGAAGCAATTAGGAAAATGTTATTTCTTCAGCTTTTGCTCCTTGCTTTGCACACTTCTCTCTTCTGTAGTCTACACACCAGCTCATCTATACAAGGATATATAGATGGTTGCGTAGAAATGGAGGGAAAGGAGCGAGTGCTTCGGCTTCATCCACCATACTGTTTTGCATCTCAATGTCCTTTGCATTCTGTCATAGAATACCTTGGGGTTCAGAACATGAGATCTTCTGGAGAAAATAGTCAAAGAGGCTGTGGCAGTAGAACAGCTTTGAAAGCACTAGCCCTTCACCAAAGATGACCAAAGACTTCAGAGTTTTGCTCATCCATGCAGACTGTAACAGCACTCTGCACTTGAAAGCACAAGGAGTTGGTGTCACTGGCAGGTGTGTTACCTGTAGATCCTTAAGCTGAAGAGGTAGATAACTGAGTTATACTACAGTGAGTAATATTTTGCTAGTAATTTTTCTGGAGAAAGAAACAATGTGAAGAACCAAAGATTTTTTTGTAGGCATTTCTGAGAAAGAATCTCTGCTTAGTAGAGCCGTCTACTTAGCTACTTAGTTCTCAACACATACCAAACACCCATAAGGTTTTCATCTAAGTGCAGAATATTTCATAAGCAAGCCATTCACAGCCAGTGAAAGAAGATCAAGATGAATATATTTAATAAAAAAGGGCCAGAGGTAACCAACCACCATCAGAGAAGCACATTGGACAAAAAGGCGGATGTTAATTCACCAGTGACCTGGCATCATGCAAAATAGGAGGACTGGAACAGGACGTGCGTCTAACAGAAAGATCATGACAAAATCAGAACAATATCTTTTTTGAAAATGTTATTTACAAGTCCATCTTCTTTCAAACTTCATTCTGATACCCAAATAATATAAAACTATTTCATGAGTTAAGAAAGTCAAGTTTAGAATACTAACCACATTCTAAATAAACATAAAAAGTGGTAGTTCCCAAGCTTCCAGGACAAAGAGGGCACCCTGTTGAATTAAAAGGCACAGATCTAGGCAGAAAAGCAAACTGAAACTGGAAAATATGCTATAAAGATAGGAAAAAAAAAAACAAAACTGGCAGGAGAACTTTTTCCCTGGAGTTTGATCACCCAGCTTATTTGCAAATGGGTTTTCTTTGGGGGGGAAGGGGGTTGCCATCCAAGGAATTGAGTTTCTCAAGTATCAAGAAGATACCAATACTGAAGGGCCCACCTACAAGGAAGGCTAAACCACATCCTGAATCCAAGGGACATTGTAACCATAATGTCCTGTGTTTAGGTGCTTTGGATTCTTTCTAAAGTTCCTAAGTGCTGCAAAAGCATTCATCCCAAGGAATAAAAGTTTACATGTAGGAATATTTAGTTCATTTCGAGTATTTGCTTTATCAATTCCATATATGTGATACCTTCAAGGCATAAGCTATTTTCAGATCCTTCCCTCCCTAGGTGCTATTCATTTGGGGATGAAACCCTCACATTTTAATGAGATAGACAGAACTCTTATTGTCTGGGATCGCTCATGCAGCACCCAAAACCCTTTATCAAATATTTAATTGAATCAGGTTTATGAGCCTCATCTCTGTCCAGCAAAATCTTAGATTATCACAAGTAAGTATGGGAAAGTCAGTCACCTGGTAGAATGGGATATTTTTCTGCAGAATTTCCATCTCATTGTTCTTTAAAAGTTGAATAACTTTAACAAATTTAGATATGATTATGTAGTGGTTACACTGTTTGATTTTAACAATTGGTATTCTTTTTAAAGCTAAGCGGGTATTTATTCTTGCTTTCACTGTCTTTCTGTTACACTGGTGCCAGGAAAGTTTGTTGTGCCTTTAATCTCAGCCAAGTTTAGATTAACTAAGATAGTTCTTGAGTTCTGACTTCTATTTTTTAATCCATTCTAGGACCTGCTAAGGTTTCAATTTAGGATTGTATACAATCTTTAATTAATACCCTCTGACAAACATTCATATCTACCCCAATAGTCTGTGAGTTTCTTATATGCAAAGGCTCCGGTTTTCCCATCTTTGTGTTTCTAGCATCTGGCATAGCAGATACACAGTCAAGCTGTTGTTGGGTTTTAATATGTCATTCCCTGGCAACACTTGATAATTCAAAGAGAATCTGCAAGAGTAGGCATCAATGATTACAGAACAGGAAGAATATAAGGTATCTGAAACTTTATGAATTGTTTTGCCCAGTACTCCTTCAAATATGTTTTAGTTTTCATTCACAACATTTTGTTTTCTCCTCCACAATCTTATCAGAGTAGAACTAAGGTGTAATCATAGGTTCACTTATTCTTCACATCAACTGCTTCCTAAGAGAAATACAATTAGGTGTCACTCAGGTTAATCAATAAGCCTTGCATAAATGGTTGTACTGTAATTGATTATTCTTACTGGTGCTGGTGATAAAATCTTCATCATCATCAATGCCTGATCCAGAAAAACTGACGTATTTTTCTCTTTCGTCTTCATTTTCTTCATTTGGCTGCCAGCCTGTTGAGATGGTATTTGACTCCGTACCTGTTGTGGTGACTTGTGTTAGTAGTTGAGCTGGCTGCCAAGCAACCAGTTTCACAAAAGAAGAAAGTCAGTCATCGGAGGTATAATGGAGTTCCCAAGATTTTAAAAAGAAAGTGACAGAATAGGCTGTGTGTCATAAATTCCTATGTCTTTGTCTCCGAAGCTAGTATGTAGACCTCAAAACAGTTGACTATGATCTTTACAACTCAACATTCTCTTTAAGGCAGCTTAAAGGATAGATATGGGTTTAGACCACCAAAGAAGTAAGAACAAAACAAAGGCCAATGAAAAGTCCCCCATGCTTTCAGATGCCTTTCTTATATGTTTACTAAGCATGTTCCATTAGCTAGGAAATCAGGAATAGAAAAGAAAGGTTTCACGTGTCCCCTATTTGCTTTGTCAGGACACTTCCAGAAAAACTCCATGTCAATCACTTCTAAAATCCTACAGTTACATCCATAATTTGTGATTTCATTTGTTTTTCTTTCTTTTTGCTTTTTATTAGTGTCCATTAATTTTACAAAGTAAGGAATTTCATTCAAACATTTCTGAACATGCATATGTGCTTTGATCATATTCACTCTTTCTATGAATTCCTTTCTCAGTATTTTTATTTTTAAAGCGTTAAGAAAATTTTATTAGAACTTAAAGGAAAATCCTTGGGGCAGGCAAGCTGGGAATCTTAGTAGCTGTTTTGAGGAGGAGAATGGGGGGTAGAAGGAAAAGATGCCACGAAGCCATGTAGGTTTAGAGCCTGCATGGAGGTCAGACACATGACTGACTGGCAGCCAACATGGCTGGGAGAAGGAAGCTTTAGAGAAAAAGTGAAGAAATACGATGTGGTAGGGCAGTCCAAAGCCTTAGAGAAAGCATGTTTAGAAAGGGGATATGAAGAAGAGGAGAGATTTTGCTTTTCTGAAGAATTTACAAAAGCGGGCAGACCTACAGAGAGACCTACACGTCTGTCCCTTTCTCAGTCTTTAGCATCAGATCTCTGAAGCTCTAAATACAAATAGAAGCAAGGAATACTGCCAGTTTACAACAATACTTTCCCAAAGAGGAAACATAAAGGTCAGCTAATAGATACATCATTCTTGTTATTTATTAGTCAATCAAAAGAGCTCAAAAGATTGATGAAAGTGAACCACAGCCCACATTTTGGGAATTTCTTACTCTTGTCTTTTAGATGCAGTCTTAGAAAAGGAAATGGGATTATTGGACTCTTCTCAGCAGTTACAGAAGATGCCTCTTTGCTAAGACAGCTTTTTCTGACTTTCAGATGTGATTTCAGTCTACCTTATGGAATGGCCATTTGATTTTCATACTATCGGTGTCCATTCCAAGAATAATTGAATTGATAGAAATTTTCTACATTTAATTATCTCTGTCTTTGCTATTTTATGTTCTCATAAAAAAGTTTCCGACTTTGGTAATTTGAGAATATGCACAAACATTCTGTCAGAGTTGAAATCTTGTTCCGTCATTGAGAAAGATCTATCCCATTTCACAGTTTCATAGTAGCCTCCTCTTGGGCTACATCAATCCCATAAGTATAAAGAAGAGAGCCACATATTAGTGATATGAAATCAAATATACAGCTCTCAGAGCTCATGGTCCTTCCTAAATTGCCATGTATATTTGTGAGACCAGAACAGAGTTTAGACTTTAACCACACCCCCATAGATGCATGAGAATTATGAAAGGCTATCAAGCAAGCATATGACATAGACAGCTGTAACTCATTACCAGGCATCTTTGTTGTTGTGTGAAGATGACTCTTGGACTCTGATGGTTGAAGCAACCATGAAAGCCAGTGCTGGGCTTCTTGTCTCTTGGGTGCTGTTTCAGGGGTGGTCATCAAGGCTGTTGTAACCATGGTTGGATTGTTGAAATGTTAATTATCAGTTCCTAAGAAGTAGCATTGGAAATGCTTTCACTCTTTCCCTACCCAGAGAATTGTCTATACTGGATGTAAGTGGTAGAAAGAAAGGAATAAAAAGAAAAGAAGTTCCATTTCTTTCAGGGACCCAAACTGAAGTCCATAGAATGTCAGAGGTGGAAGGACCTTAAATATCAAGTGGCCCATGTTTCTCATCTTAGAAATGAAAAACTCATGCTGAACAGAGTTTCTGACTGGTTTGAAGTCCAATTAGCAACAGAGAGATCTCAATCACAGGAGCTGTTGTCATTGAATTTTGAGTCTATAATATAAAAAAGTGATGGAATTTTTGCCTCCTTTCCTATGAGGCCAAACTAAGACTTGTGGTAGGAATTTCAGAAATGTAATGTTCCTCTGAATACTTGAACTGAAATATTAGATAATCAGAAGGACTGACTGATTGAACTAGACCATTTAAGATCCTCTCCAAATCTGAACATTATGATTCTAATACCCAGCTCTTAGGAACCCAAGTTCTTTGCTCCTCCACACAATCAAAGTTGGCCAGCCAATATCATTATCCAGTAGTTCAGGGTATGATATTTCTGCCAGAAGTCATAGGCATGCAACCACAGGAATCCCAGTGTGGTAGAGAATGGTACATGAAGCAGAATGCTAAGGAATGCCTTTCAGCTTCCTCTGTGGAGGATGCACATTTCCTAGCAACAGTGCCTGTAGTGATTTTGATATCAGCACTGTATTTTGAAAAGCACAGCAGTCCATTTTGAGTCCTATTTTTTAAAAAATAGTAGAACAAACTAGGAAAGACAGGCAGAGATGAAGTGACCCAATGATCCCACTAATAAAGCAACAGTCTTGATTTGAACACTTCCAAAGGATGCCATTTATGTCACCATGATGAGCATTGGATTATCAGACAATAGGAGACCCCCCCAAAGTAAAGTAAGTTCACATAGAGAAAGTTGAAGCCACCAGCAAATTTCTAAATACAAAAACCAATGAGATTTCTTTTGTCAACTGTCAAGAAAGCCCAGAAATAATCCAAGAAGAAGCACAGCCATAAAGCCCCTTTTCCTTCACAATATCTGTCCTATGAATATAAACATTGTAAACTTGTAAAAACAGCATTTTTCTTTATTCAGCCATATCGCCCCATTCACCTCAGCAAATTAATCACTGTAATAAAGCAACCACAGCAGAAAGTCAAGAGGGGTTTCCTTGCACGATTGTTTGTAGATGGAAAGACAAAATTTACTCAAAACAAACGGTCATTTTTCCATTTTAATGACACCCCTTCTGCAGAAATAATATCTAGTTATTTAGATATATGGCCATAGATCGATGTAATTTAGTAAATGAAGAAATTCCCGTCAGTTCCCATTATTATATGCTGAGTCTCTTCCCTAATCCCAAAGCAAAGCTCCCAAATAAAAAAATTGAGATCTAATAGCCAAATATCCTCACAGCTTGTTTGTGACCCCTAGACTCTGAAATAAAGCAGTGAGTCATTTCCTAGAGCTTACAGTAATTTTTTAAAATGTCCCAACATGCCTATATTTCCTGTCTATAAACCATCACTTATCTCTGTTATTGCTGTGATAATTTAGTCAGCAGAAAACAGGATTGCACATCTCCCAAAAGATGTCTTTCTAGAGGTTATCTTCTGAATGAATTTCCTTGTCAAAGGAAAAATAATTCCAATTTCTATGTCCATGTTACCAAATGAAAGCAGGGCATTTAGGAGAAGTTTAGATTCACAGGTTTCTGTGATCAACAAAATGGCACCAGAATCTGCTGTCAGGAAGGATATTTTTTAACATGATGATGGATATCCTTCTTAACACCCCAAGACCTAACACTTAGGACAGTTGATGAGCAAAAGACAAGATCGTTTACCTGTGGTTGCTGCTGTTGTAGGCTCCTGAGTCTTAGGCTGTGAATTACCAAGCCAAAACCACATCCAATTATTTTGTTCCTGAGATGCTGCATGGTTGTTTAAGTGCACAGTTGAGGCAACTAGATTAATTATGAAAATACCATTTAATGATATCCCTTCTGTGAAACCTATACTCTCTATTCTATGTAGTATATTCTGTATTTATTATAGAATGAGGATTAGAAAAGAGAAATTGGGGTCTAGTTTTATCTTTTCAGCCCTTAGCATCTCAGAGAATCTTAGGGCAACATCCAAAAGGCAAGCTAGTGTATCAATTCAGTGCCTTCAGCAGTCTCTCGGTTGCATAATTCAACCATGAACTGAAGGTCTTTGGTGTAGCATAAAATACAGTTGCTTCAATTCATCTCTTTGGAGAATCTTCGAGGATGCCTGCCCCTCTTTTGTCTGTCTGGCATTGCACCCCGGCAGCTTGTGACAACTGGTATTTCAGTTGTCAAGCTCATCAAACTCAACTCAAGCTTCAAACTTCGGAAAGAACTTTGTAGAGGGTGTGTGTTTAAAGTGTAAACAGATAAAGCTTTCTCAAGTATTTATCTATTACTTTCTTACAAAGAACTGTTAAAGGTAAAGAATTGTTGAACTTGACTCAAATTTTAGAAAGCCTAATATTAACAGTTTGTAATTTAAAAAAAATCTTTCATCTGACTTTCAGGTTGGATTTATTTCCAGAATGTTTCCCCACAGAAATAAAATGACACATGCCATCAGGATAAATGCCTGAATCAGCTAAGATTTTAAAAAGAAAATATTTTCAATCAAACACCTCTTTGGAAATCCAAGTATAGCCTATCTTCTACCAAAAAAAAAAGTGCATATACTTCAGGAGTACACGTTTGTACACATTACTCCAAGTGGCTCCTGAACACCTTAAAGAACTTACTGATACCCATGTGAGATCCAGTTTAACATTCTGACATCATACATAACAAATGCCAACAACAGGCATAACATGGTCTGAGCTATAAAGATCACATTAGTTCAGAACAGAAAGAAGTAGAAACCAATCACTCACAATGCCTTTAGTTAGGTGCCCTGGGAGCGTTCACAGATTGTCCATTCTTGCCCCAGAAGCTGTATTAAGGATATACAGTTCTGACCCTCACTTTGCAGTACCCCAGAAAAAAAAGTTCACGAGAAATGAACACACAAGAGAAGAGACACAGAAATGGTATTAGTTCCGACTTTCCAAAAGGAGCTGTAGGAGAGGGGAAATGAGAAAAGTGTCAGCCTTGCCAGCAGTTTCCAACTTGCCCCACCCAATAAGCTTGTGTAAGATCAAAAAATTTATTCATTTGACACCCAGAAGACAAGGCAATAGAGCTTCTTAAGGTGGGCGTTTGCTTCCTGAATTAGTTTAGGCTTCTTGATTCCAGAGAATTCCAGATTACCAGTGGGAATGGGCCAGTGACAAGCCTCCAGGAGGACTTGTCCAAAAATAACATTTATAATAAACAACGAGCAGGAAGTCCAACCCTACACAGATGGTTGTTCTTATTAGCTTTCCCTGTCGCCACCCGCAGAGCACCCTTAAGGAAGAAATGAGCCAGTTAAGCCAAAAAGGACTCCTCCATGTCTTCAGCCAGCTCAGCTCTTGACCTCTGCTCATTGCATGCTAATTTGCAATCACTCCCTCTCACAATGTCTCAACCCTCAGTCCAACAATGATAAGGCCTTGGGAAACTCCTTGACTGGACTTAGAAAATACAGTTCTACTCAGGAGCTTATCAGTGATAACCCTGTTATGCCATGTGCTGCATTTGAGTGGACTGAACTTGGTGGGCAAATTAGCCTCTTCTCTTTAACTGTTAAAGGGAACTGAACTAAATGCTTGTACTGAGGAAAGAAAAATCCTTTTAGTCCTTTTACTTCCTAGCTAACTGTATATTTGCTTGTTTTTGAGACAGGGTTTCACTATGAAGCCCTGGCCAGCCTCTGCCTCTCAGGTGCTGGGATTGAAAGTGGCACCACCACAGTGAGTCCTAGCTACGTTTTAGTTAAGCCTCATGCTCCTTTTCTTTGATTTCTGAACTACTATGTTGTATCCATGAAGGTAGGCTCTTCTCTAAGCTCCAGAAACCAGAACAGTATCTGGTATAGAAAAGGCACAAAATATGGGATGAATGAAAAGTCTCACTTACCCTGACTTCTCTTTGACATTACTTTCTAATCTGTTTATCTTTGGATCTCAAGTGTTAAAACAGACCCAATATAGAATAGGTCCTCAAAATGTATACCTAGGGTAGGAGAGGAGCAGGGCTTAGGAGACCGCTAAGGATGCTAATACAATGGACTAGCTGCCTTTCATGACGCACATGTGAAACACTCTCTGCTTCACACTGGCTATTGACACGAATGCCAGCTGGACTAATCCCACACAATGTATTTTGTCAGGAGATTCTTCTTTCATGGGAAATGAGACTTTAGTGAGACCTGTTCTGATCCCTGATGAGACCACTAATTACTGTGTTTGCCAACATCTAACAAAACTGCACACCCCAATGATAAGCACCTTTAACACAGTTGCATTAGAAGGGCAAGAGATCCAAGAAGCAGCACGTAGCTAGTACTACTACCTGCTTGCTTTGCAGAAGTCTCTGTGAGAAGTATTACCCAGCAGACTACAAACAACATGCTGACATAACCACCAGAAGGCCAACAGTCAGCAAGAGCATGAGCAATTTGAACAGATCGTCTCTGTGTGTGTGTGTGTGTGTGTGTGTGTGTGTGTGTGTGTGTGTGCATGTGGAGGCCAGAGGTGGACATTGGGAGTCTTCCTCTATCAGTTTCCATCTTAGTTTTTGAGTCACAGTCTCTCATTAAACCTTGAGCTCACAGGGTTGGCTAGACTGGCTGGTCAGTGAGTTTGAGGGATCTGTCTGTCTTCACATTCCATGCACTGGGATTACAGACGGGTGCTGCCACACCTGATTTTTCACATAGATGCTGGGATCAAACTTGGGCTCACATGATTGCATGGGAAGCACTTTACCCACTAAACTATCTCCCAGCCCCCAGAATCTGCTTGAGTTTTTCATTTTGGATAGGCTTCAAAGAATTTTCTGGAAAAGACTAGAACCCTGAGCCTATTCACCATGCTCCCCATCCCCCCACCTATGGCTCAACAAGCTGCTAGCAGAAATGTAAAACATTGCTCAGAGTGCTGTGGAGTTTCCCTGGCTTCTGGGTGATAAAAGATAGAAAGGCCCCCATCACAAACAAGGACATTTGTGTCAAACTGAAGAAACCAGAGTTCCATCTCTCAGGAGTTGCAGCCAGAAGAGAAAACCCACACTATACTAGGAGATCCAGTGAAAACGTAGTGGCCCTATTTGAGTTTGAATAATGTTCCACAGAAGACGCATAGCTGATCTGAAAATCCGTTTTAAAACAAACCATAGAGGAAAAACAGAAGGAAGTAGAGGAGATGAGAGGAACTGTGAGCACCTTTCCAACATCCCAGCTACACAAACCCAAAGCCATCTGAGGCAGCATTTACAGCCTCCCATTCCTGCAGCCCCAGAGAATGTGTTGCACCCGCCTTGCCCCCCACACAATGAGCATTAGGTGTTTCTCCAACATAATCAGAAAATTCCTCCACATTTGCTTTCTTGGACAAAGGAAGTGATTAGTTAATTGTGGTTGATAAAAATGACTGGATATCGCACAATCAGAAACTTGAGAATTAACTAAGTTAAAACATAACATTAAAAGACTGGGTGATAAAAGGAACCTGTGGAATGAACCATATACTCTGTGGTTCTAACTTTAACAATTTACCCATAGTGGCAAAGAATGGAAAACAAACTACACTGAAAATTGTTTCTGTAACAAGTCTGAAGTATCATCAAATCCTTAAACAAGAGAATAAGAGGAGCTTTCCTAAGGGAACCCGCCCCTCAATACGGCACTTCTTACCCCAATGTAAGAAGCACAGAGCTACAGAGGGAAGAAATATGTTAGTCAGCAGGAATCAACACATACTGACCAAGAGCACTGAAAAGCACAGGAGCCAGCCTCCCTAAATGATGTCACTCAGATCTAGATGTCTAGTCAACATGGAGTGTACATTGCTTGGAGAGTCATTAACATTCTGTCAAAGAACTGCTGTAGGAAAAGCACAGTGAATCTCTCTCCTTACTGGTGACTGGGGTGCTCCTGGAGAACCAGATGTCATCATCCTCTTGGGTTGGGTGCATAGTGGGCAGGTGGGTGTGGAAGATGTAACTTCCTGAAGTGCTCTTCTCACTGGAGGATCCACTGCTCATGTCCTCATCGATATTGTTTTTGGGGTCGAGGTCTTCCGGGTGCGTTCTGTATTCACCTTTCTTGCTGTAGCGGGTACCATCACGGTTGACAATAGCTGAAAGAGAGAAAGACACCTTTAGAATATTACAACTGGTATATCTTGAGTTAGGAAAGATGGTGGATTGTCATATGACACAGGAGCTATTTTCGTTTGCATTAAGAACACCTACTTGTCTAGCACTGAGGTACGGGGACTGATGTACACTCCCTCCCCCAACATTCTGGAAATGAGGAGAAAGATGAGGTACTGGAAGCTCCCCAGGTTTGAATGTGAGCTTCATGTAGCTCTAGACAGTCCTGTGAGCTTTACTTTCCTCATCTATTAAGCAAGGATTTTACCTTCTGAATGAAGTTAGCATGACCATTACGTGATACATTGAAAATAATGTTCAACTCAGTAGTCAAAATAAGTGCAGGCTCAACAAATGACAATTCACTCACTCTGCACCTGACTGTCCCTTCTAAAGTTTGTGTAACTTTTGTTGCTATTGGTTCCATTTATCTCTAGAAAGAATTTGAAGTTTGTAGGTCAATAATCTCCACAAATGTGATATACTAGCAATCCATAAAGAAATGGATTCTTTCTAAGGGGTAATTTTTGTCATTTAATGCAAACCCTGATTTCTAGTTAGAAAACTAGTTCATCTAAATGCTGATAGAGCCCCTACCATCCTCTGTATAATTAAGCCTTGAAATTAGCAAGCTTGGATGTATGCAAAGATTAGAATATTTGGTTTAAATTAGCAAGTGTGAGGATGAACAGAGGAGAAAAGCACAGATGAATAAATTCATTGGTCATCCTTAAAACGGATTTGCTGCATTAGAGCCTGGGCCATCCGCTACACACATATTCACCTAGCTGAAAATATTTTCTGCTGATCACATTGATGGGACGAGGAGTCCTCTTGTTTCACTCATCTATTTTACTCAAATGGAACTATTGGTAGAATATGAGTGAAAAAAATGTCCAGAGTCTCAATCACCCTGATAATGTCTGCAGAGGAAAACCTGAGGAGAGCACACGGCAGTCTATTCTCTGTTGCTGAACCTGAGTCTAGGCAATTCATAAAGAATGGAGGTCTATTTGGCTTATGGCTTTTGAAACTCAGCGTGGAGGTCCAAGGAGTACAATGACAGCACCTGCTTGGCGTCTGCTGAGGGTCATCCTGCTGTACCATAGAACAGAGAACATCACGTGGTAAGATGGAGCAAGTGGGCCAGATTGGGTCTCTTCCATGCCTTGTAAAGCTACTGATATCATTAGACCTCACTCTCTTCCCCCCATCTAATTCCAATACCTTCCGAAGACCCCAGTTCTAAGTATCATTAACATGTGGATTTGGGAGTTAAGTTTTCAACATAGGAACTTTTGGAGGGACACATTCAAACCATTGAACATTCAGATCATTGATCAAGCTTTTACAAATATTTACTTTAAAGGAGCTTTGCAGGAACCATGGAAATTAGGCACTTCTTGAACATCTCCTATGGGTCAGACATGCAAAAAACACATTAGGGTTGCATGATAATTCTATATGCTGTGTCATTATACATATGGGAAAACTGAAGAATGGAAAAAGGAAATTATTATCCTGAGATCATGTAGGCAGCAGGGAAATGGGATTTCAAACCAGGCAGATTATAGCACATCTCACATGGTGGCTGCTGAGGTGTGAAGCCTCCTGTGGCTACTGTAGGAGTAGGGCACAGGCCAAGGGAAATTCCTTATGCAAGAATGGGAGGCTGGATTTACAGGGTACAGGAAGAGCTCTCCCTACTTATGCTGCTATCATGGCGACATACTCTGGAGTCTAGCTCTAAGGAAACAGAAATCAGCCATCTTCAACACTGGGCTTCCTCCCCTAAACAGTAGGCTCAGAGGCAAAAAAGACTGGGGTGAATTTATTGGAAAGTTCTAAAGTTTTCCATCTTCTAAGGTACTACATGCAGTTTTCTATAGGTAAGCAAGATGGTTTGAGGTAGATGTAATGCAAATAATATTGAAAACTTTATCCTTTCATATTCATCTCTCAATAAATACTTCAGTTAAGTTCAATCAGAAAATTTCCATTTGGGTGTCCCCATCCCTAGGACTGCCCAACTTTCTCTATCAGACAGAGCACAGCTTAGGTTCACAGTCTTTTACAGTCCCAAGTTGAAAAATACTACTTGCTTACTCTTGAGTTTAACTTGATTTTTAATATTACCTTCTATTTATGACAAGTGATATTGGTTTTCCATTTGCAATTCATTTTTAAAAATAAATGTGTTTTAAGTAGAAGAGAATGGATCAATTGCATGAAAATTATCAAGTAAATGATGGGGCTGAGAAGTACACAGGCAGGCACCCAAAATGTGAAAGTGGTTTTCAAATGATAAGTTTGCAGAACAGGGAATTGGGGTAAACCAGAGAACAGTTTCAAGCCAACATAACAAAGGGAAGGAATATTAAATCATAGCCAACCTTCCCTAACCTTAGGGAAGGGAATTAACATTCTACTTAACTATAAACTAAAGAGAACATACCAGGTGTCTTTCCCAAGAATAAGAAAAGTCAGAGATAAGAAGAGATACATACTTATGGTAACTAGTCCATCGAAGGAATTGGGCAGGTCTGTGACTGATGTACAGTCTTCTTCAAGAGGAGCTATAGCAAAGGAAAAAAGTATGACATTTTTTAAAAAGAACTCACAGTTAATCTGTCTTAGTCAGTTAGTATAGAGTTGTACTATAACTTGTCTTAAATAATTTTTTTCATGAAACTTGGTAAGTCTGTGAAGGACTTCTCTGTCCTTTGTGATACGTTATATTTTTAATTTAAAAATTCCTGGAAACTTTCTATTCTCACTTCTACAACTTCATTTATTAAGAAATGTGTGTGTTCTAGGTCAGATGTGGTGGCGCCTGTAATCCCAGAGCCAGGGAAGTCAGACTGGGCTACAATGCAAGATGGAGGTGGAGGGAAGGAGGGAGGGAAGAAGGATAGGAAGGACTGGGGAACGAAGGTAAGAAAGAAGAAAGGAAGAAGAAAGAAAAAAAGGAGCAAGGAGAGACAGACAGACAGACAGACAGACACACACACACACACACACACACACACACACACACTATCCCTCAGGCATTGTGGAACTTGCATGTTTCAGGTTTAAGATTTCAATCCTTCTCTAATGAAGCACAGCAGTAGAGAGGATTCTGAAAACATATTTTCATTGTAAAAATAATCTGAAATCAGTGTAAAAAATTTTAAATAAAGAAATGTATAGGTTGGGTGTGGTGGTGCATGCCTTTAATCTCTGCACTCAGGAGACACAAATCTCTGGGAGTTCAAGGCCAGACTGATCTACATAGCGAATTCCAGGCCAGCTGGGGCTACAAAAAAAAAAAAAAACAGACCAAAAAAAAAGAAGAAGAAAAGGAAAACAAAAGAGATATATAAAGTATCACAAGAAAATCATTTGTATCCCAGATACCCAAGGCATGATGGGAAACTGTGGTGGACATACACAATTGACATGAACACCATGAGAATCTAAAGTTTAAAATAACATAACCAATGAATTTGCCTGATAATCAAAATATTTAACAACCAACTAATCCCCAGTCTTTATTATTGTATTAATTGTTTCATTAATTTGGCTAATCTTTCTGAGTGCCTGCTCTGTGTACGAGGCTTCACAGCACACACGTGAGGCTAGCCACCTTCGGAGATACCCATGCTGGCTTGCATTTTACCAGGGCATCTGGATTCTTTTCCATTTATCTCCTGCTCCCTACCCCTTCCTTGGAATTCCGTGCTATGACTTGGACTAGTCGGTCACCCACAGATGCTGCTAGGAAACTTCTGAGCACCACTGTCTGACACCCTTAGAAAACAGGTCCTGAAAATCCTGCCCCGAGTACTGTCCCTTGAATTCCAAAAGTGAACTGCAGAATAACTTCACCACCATCCAAGTCATGCCCAAATGCTCCATGCAGTGACCAGTCTTATACAGAGCTCTAACATCTCTGAGAGATTTAAAGTAGCATTACTATTGTGTAAAAGTTGGATCCATTTGTGCACTGCAGGGTTACAGCCCCTCCTTGGTTTTCTGAGACACAGGCTATTCTAAGTCATGATCCCCCTGACCCAACATCCTGAGTGCTGGGTTATCAAGAGTGTGCCACCATGTTCAGCTGCATGACCACTTTTATAGTGTGTGTATGTCTACTTAGACGTCAATGTCAATTTATTTGTTAGGTTTGTTTCTTCTAGATGTGATTTTTGACAAAGAGGAAAGAAGAAAGAGATGGAGATGGGGGGGAGGGAGGGAGGGAAGGAGGCATACATATGTGCATAGAAGGACAGAGGCAGGCTGAAGGAAGCATGGTCTCGAGTATTTTATGCGCCCTGCCAAAAACTGTTACATATTCATAACATTGGACAGAAACAGAAGCTGAACAAAACAGGTGTTGGTTACCTCTTAGTAACTAGAAACATTTTCCCACAGATAAAGAGACTATCTTTTACCCAACCAGTTCTTTGAAAGTGAATGTTATTGGCAGCTATAGACATTCCGCTAGGAGTAGAGGGAGACCAAGTTTTAGAAAAAGCCATTCCTGAAAAAGCTGCTGTAGAAGAAAATTTTTTCACAAGGAGAACCTTGAAACGAAAAAGTCACTGTGCTGGTTAGCCCAGCCCTTCATCCCTTCTTGATACCTGTCACCGTTACATCTCACTTCCTTTCATTTCTCCTTCATATGCGCCACAGTCTAAAAGTATCTTGCTCATTTTACTTGATTCATAGTGTATCTCACAACCCCTATCTCCTGCTACCCACCTTGCCATAGAAATGCATGAACTCTAAAGACCAAGTAATAACTTCATTTATTTGGGCCTGAATATTATATGATAAGAACAGAGAGACACTTGATTCATATTTATTGAATGAGAGACAAAAAGGGAAAAAGGTTTCAACTCTCCCTGGATGCATACCTAAGATGGTAACTCCTAAAATGGTCCACAAATATCGACATATCAAGAGGTCTGTGGATAAACCTTGAAGGACAATATGCCCTGAGAGGTAACTCAAGGACAGGCACTCACTGATACTGTCTATGCTATACATAACACACACCAGACCATAGAAGAAAAAGGTAGGAAAAAAGATGAACATGTTTCTGTCCCTGCTGCTAAGGAATTCTCAAGATCATGGGAGAAAATAATGTTTCATTAGTTCTTTATAGTTTAAGAAAAATTATCCAGAACTCTCTTATTTGAAAACAAGGCCATGTGGGCATTCAGGAGCTTTGCTTCTCTTGGTCTTGGAGATGAGCTAATCTGTGAAATGCTTCTACTGTATGTGTGTGGCACATCCCCAGAAATGGGCCTTAGGTTATGATTCCTGATATGAGGGATGGAGAATTCTCCCCAGAATTCACAGCTGCAGGTCGAAGCAGTGCACTCCAGGAGGTGAGGTGCAATGCTAGGTGGCATGCCAACAACACTAGGGCTGTTTTGTAAATCATGACAGTGTATGTGCACATGGAGCAACTTCATGCTCCATTTCACCTACACCATTATACAGAACTTCAAATCTGGTCCAGAATACCAAGGCGGGTGATGACCCAAATGTGCAATTAACAAATTCATGCTCTGGTGTCGTTATGTGGGCTCATTAGATGGCGTTTCATTCTGTTTTATGATCACTGCATTGCTGTGAATGTCCCTGACCACAGGGACGTGTTACGGATATTGAAATGGGCTTCCTGGGGGGTGTATTCTCAGAAACCTTGGTTCACTGAATCCAAAAAGCTGATGGAATCATTCATTATTCAGTCTAGGTGCTGGTCTCTGGGAGCTAGACAGAAAGAGCACTTCTTCCAGAATTGATTCCCTGTAGCTGTTCCTAAATAAATCCTCAAACAGTTCGGATGTAAATGAGAAAATTGATAAAAAGTATCTGTAAAATCTGCCCCATAATTCTACATTCAGAAGAGACTAAGACATCTTACTGAAAGCAAGCTCTTAAAAAATAAACTTGAATGAACCAATTGTCCGTGTCCTTTTCCCAGAAGTCACCAGGCTCATGTTGGGCCTTACTACTGAAACATGCAGCAGTAAAAAATAAATAAATAAATAAATAGATAGATAAATAAATCAATCACAGGCCTTTTCCTTGGGGCTTGCTTTATTTTTCACAGAAATATGGTCAAGCTTTTAAACTTGTAGAAGTTATTTGCTATGGTCCTGCTGGCTGTCGTCCCTGTTGCCAGTTTATAGAGGACCTCACATCTGGGACTGGATCATCTAGTTGCTCTCCCTGGGCTAGACTGAATCCAAGAATCTTTCTAAGAGGTTCTTGAAAGCAAGCAAGACATTGCCAGGATCTTTACCTTACTATCCTGGGGTATTGGGTTCCCAACCAAGACACATGGAATCTCTTTATCCTCAGCCACGTTTATTTATCCCCATCTTTCCTTTCTATGGTCTGTCTCACTGCTTCAAGAAAATTCTGAATTACTTTAAGACAAGAAACATGGTTTCTAGTATTGATGATCAATAAATCTTGCCTTTGAACTTAAAGAAAATATATATAAAATCATATCAAGAACCAGATGTGTTGGCCCATGCCTTTAATCCCAGCACTTGGGAGGCAGAGGTAGGTGGATCTCTGTAAGACCAAGGCCAGCCTGGTCTACATAGTTAGTTCCAGGCTACATGGGACTACAGGGAGACCTTGTCTCAAAAGAAAAGAAATCAACATTGGGTACAAGCAGAAAGTAGAAAAAAGGTATTGTTATTTTTAATATTACTACTTTTAACACAGTCATTTTGGTATCAAATGTATTGAAAATACTTGTCCAGGTTTTCAACTAAACTTACTTTCCTCTCTCTAAGGAAAGGAGAGTTAATCACCACTGTTAACCCTGTTCTGGGCATAGACCCAACGTCACAGGCAAAATTAAGGACAGGAAGAAAAACCAGTAGCTGTTTGCCTGTATCACTTCAGTTCTGGGCTATAAAACAGCTGTGTTTTTGCCTTTTTCATTTAGAGTTCTCAGAACCTTAACTCACAGTGACACCAACTTGTAAAACAGGTGAGACAGTGTGGGAACGTAGGTGCATAATTTATTGCATACATTCTTTGGACAAGATTCAGCAGGAGAAGTGAAAGCAGAACCCAGAGACTGATCAGGAAGCAGGGTCACAGCAGTCCAGGGCTTTGCCAACCACCAACCCCTTCATCTCTGACCTCTTGTGCTATGATGGATTAAGCTAGACCCATGGTGCTCTGTGTCTAGTTCCCATTTATTCATATGTGCTTTGGCTCATTGTAATATCATTAGAATGGGCAGGGTATGTATGGACCATGTCCTGTCTAGCTTTGAATGGACTCATCTCCTTTTGTCCAAACTCCATTTGTGTTCTGTGCTTACACACTAGGGAGGGGTAAACATTCTATGGCTCTTCTCTTTGCCCTGTAACTCTCCTTGACCTGTACATATTTGACATATTTCAGTAACTTCATATACTCTATTTCAAATACCCTTCCCCAGACTTTTGGTGTTGCCATGTCCTGTGATTAAGGTCAATGGGAAACTGCAACAACCCAATCCGGACAGGACAACAAATGGCTCAGACCCTTCAGGGATGAAAGTATGGGTCGCTCCTCCAGGGAAAGAGCCAAGACCTGCAGAGGTGCTTTTGTCCTATTTGGTTAAGAATAGGCTTGTTCATATATACACATATGTTAAGCAGATACTTGTGTTGTTCTTTTGAGAATGTGTAATTGAGATAAGTGTTAAGTGGTTAAGTGCTGTGAACCTATACGATCATAGTAGGTTATGAGATACTAAAGAACTAAGCATTCTTTGAAGACCTTATCACCTACTCTAAGACATATAATGCATTGGTCATTGTATGATGGGATATTCATATCATGTTAGGTGAAATTATGACCTCAACATTGTTTTCATTTGAAAATTAAGCAAGACATAGAGAGATGCTATTGGGTGTCAAGTTGACAAGGGGTAAACTTGTGATGGCTAATCCTGAGTGTCAACTTGACTGGATCTGGGATTAACTGAAATGAGAGAGACCTTCTTGATTGGATCATCTGAAGCCGGAAGACACACCCTAAATGTGGGTGTTACCTTCTGATGGCAGCCCATATAAAAGGCCATGGCAGAGGAGAATGCCTGGCTTCTTGCTGCTTGCCTTCTCTCTTTCTAGTGAGTTCATCTTGCTGCTATAGACGATCTTTTGCAATTCATCAGAACTTCAGCGCTAGATTGGGACTACTGAGACATCCAGGCTCGTGGACTGAGTGACTACCAGATTCTCAGCCTCTTCAGTGTGGTGCAGTCATTGTTGAACTACTCAGACTCTATCCTGTGAGCTAAGCTGATAAATCCATATATATATATATATATATTCATATATATATTTATTTATTTATTCATTCATTAATTTATTTATTTATTCTACCCATTCTGTTTCTTTAGAGAGCCCTGACTAATGTGGTACCAGAAATGGGGTAAGACGTCTCCTCTGAATTTCCATTCACTGCTTAGCAACAAAGGGTAGGTGACATGGCCTAAAGGTACTGATGTAATCTCATAATGCCTTTGATGTCCCTTCTTTTCCTTAAAATCCTACACAGATTTTACATCCTACCATCATATTATAATATCTATGTTTTCACAGAGATAAATCTTAAGCTACTTTCCAACTAATTTTACACCCTCCTTTCATGTTTAAGGAAAATCAACACTCCAGGAAGATGTGGCAAGTTCAACCTCAGGGCTTCTCCTTTCCACACAGTTTCAACTGTTCAGGGGAACGGAAGACAGTTTGAGAACCAAGGCTTTTGGTTGTTGGCATTCAAAATTTGACATTTATGCTTTTGATTATTCTCAAAAGACCTTGAACATTTATGATTCATAGAATTATTTAAATTTGTGGCTGCTTGAAATAGACTTGTAATCATGACTTGTAAGCTCATTGGTAGAAAAAGTTTCCTAAGGGGAAAGCTCAGCATCTCCAGCTTTACTTAACTTTCTTAGTGGTAGTATCTGATAGATGCAAAGGGCAAGAATGTATCATATATGCTCTTTGCCTTTGCTCCAGCCCCACATATAATAAATCCTCTCAGCTAGGCCATGTGGCTTGCGCCCCCAAACTGTCATTAGATTTGTGTTGTTCTCCATTAGAACCTGTAGCAATTTCCCATCACTATGAGGACGATGCCTACCCTAGCCCCTGCTTTCTAACTTCATCCCCTGCAGCTCACTCTTCTGATCACTAGGTGTTTACCACTCTGGACTCCCTGGTATTCTTGGGGCAAGACAGGATGCTCTTGCTGCCTCACATTGAATGGCCTGCCCCTCCTGCCACCTCTTCACGTTGATCAAGGCTTTCCAAAAAGCAGCTCCTCAGAGATAATTTCCCTGTTCATCTTGCAGATGAACATCCCTAGTGCTTGTTCCTTCCTGTGTTGCACTGCATGTAAGATCACTGATATTTCATTGTTCATCATTTGCCTCCTCCACCCGGCACATTAGTACCGTGGATATAGGAATCTAGTTCTTATTTCTGCTATAGAGACATGCAGCACTTGTTGTAAGTGGAAGTTTCTGTTCACCTCACCTATGCTGAGACTGAACTACTGCCAGTCAACCACGCTGCCATAGGCAGCACAAAGACTATCCACTTAGAACCAACCTGAGGCATTGAAGCAATATGTGTCGTAGTGGGAGGTGTTGGACGTGAGGATATACACTCCTGTGTGGTTGGCTGCACAGATGGCATTGGGAGTGATTCTTGGGATCACCACGTGTCCTTCTATGAACCCATACCTGTCAGTGAAAAACAAGAGGTTATCGATCTGTGTGGCTGTGACAGGTGTTTCATAATATCCCATTACATGACAGTTAATGCAATGCAACACTCCACTCTATTTACCCCTTGGGATGGTAGAGGTTTCAACAACTGAGTTATGCGAAACCCGATAATAACAGCACAGGTGAGTAAAAAGATCAAGGCTGACAGAGACAAAGTGGTTTCATTTAAAAACTAAAGTGCTTTTTTCTTTAATAAAGAAGACTCGCTAATGAAAAATAGTTCTGGTGCATGCCTTTAATCCCAGCACTTGGGAGACAGAGGCAGGGGGATCTCTGTGAGACTGAGGTCAGCCTGGTCCACATAGCAAGTTCTGGTCCAGCTGGGGCTACAGGGAGACCCTGTCTCAGAAAAAAAAAAAAAAAAAAAAAAAAAGATCAATAGTTTCAAATAAAATTTATGGTCAGCAATGTCATTAGTTTTAAAAGCAGGAAGCCCCTGTTACAAAAGAGAAGTTATTGAATTAGCTTTGTGTTTTTCAGAAATAACATAAAATGACCCACTCTCCTAAGATAGGAAGTTGTAGGTCTTCATTTCTGTCTAAAGAATTCGGATCTGCCTTATTTCCCATCCTCCACTCTGCTTTCCTGCCCTCATCTTCTCCTCCAAGTCCCTCAGTCTTCACTCCACTAGTGCCAACAGGAAGCCTTGCTCCTGTTTCCAGCTCACAGCATGACTGATCTCATGAGCATCCCAGGCCAGTGAAAAGAAATTGACCATCATTAAAATGAGGGTAATGGCAATTAAGTAAGTAGGTTGCAATGGATCATTTAACTCAGGAAAATTCTAGAAGCAACACAGACAGAGAAAACTCCTAGCCACTCTCTCCTACTCCATCCAGGGATTTCTGGGAGCATATTAGGCTGGAGGCCTTTTCAGACTGCACATCACCACCCTCTCCTGTAGTACCTTGCTGGCCATATGACGTAAACATGAAATGCTTCAAAAAGTGAGGTGTGGGTTGAGAAAGTGTCACTTGTAAGAAAAGAGGTGATGTGACAGCAAAAGGGCAAAAAGGAGATGCAAAATCTGGGATTTTGGAAATGCAATGCTGGCTGAAAAGCACCTCGTAGATTATTTTAATCTTTCCCACATGGGTGACAGCACCCTATGAGACCCATGGACATGAAAGCGACTTGAAGCTTCTAAGCATTTCGGTCTCATTATGTTGGTGTCGTAATGGCAAGCTTACATGACTCATTCTTCATCTGAACTAACAGACTGGTTTCTCCAAAGTCTCCTTAGCTTGGTAGTGGGAGGGCACACAATTAAATGTTAATAAGTTTTGAGAGGTGCCACTGATCAGGGTGGGGCAAAGAATAGTGGCTGCTGAGGCCTGTGAGCCTGTGTCATCTGTCCTGTGGCAGATATCTGATTCATAGCCACCTGAGGGGAATTGTGGAAATGAGTTTTGAAACATTTAATACCAGTTATGACTGTAACAACAGATTTTTATGGCAGTTTTTCTTCTTTTTTTCTAAATAATACTCCTCAGTGAAACTGCTCTTTACCATGCTCTTAATACACCATGCTGAAATTTGTATAATGCAGACCTTCTAGACTCTCATACATTTCCTTTGTGGGTTATTACTGAATTTTCACCACATCATGTTACCTGCCATTTTTATGTGTTTGTACTGTACATGAGTTATGTGTGTGTACATGGCATGAGAAAGTTACTCTTCACGGGGAGCAAAGAAATATTCAGCAAGTCCATGCATCCTCCCCTTTTTATCCTCAGTCCCTTGGGGGGGGTGCTTGGTTATTACAATCTTATCTTGCATTCAGATTAATCACCAAATGGATGCTCCTCCACATATAAGCAATGTGATGCATGATGAGCTGTGGAATGGAAGGTGCTTAAGGCTCCATGCGTCACCCATAAAGTGGCTTAGTGTTAAACAGAACATCTTAAGAATTAAGATAAGAAATGAGATTGGGATGCTCCCAGCATCCCAGTGCTCTGATGGCTCCTCCAGCTCTCAGCAGATGAGAAATCTCTGTATTTCACAAGTATGTCTTAACTGTATTTCATAATCAAAGCCCAGCTCACTAAATCCACTTTCTTAACCCAGTGGCCTAGTCAGAATGAAAATTTAAAGACTGGCTTTGGGAATTGAATAAATGGATTTGCTGGTTGTCTGTCCTTCATGAAGTTGATAGGTCAGCTACCAGAGCCATCACCCTTCCTTTGACATTTTCCCAAACTTAGCTCTGAACACCTAACAGACAGATACCTAGATGGTGCTGCTTTTTCAAAAGACAACTTTCTCAAAAGAGAAGAATACTATGGGGCTGGAGAGGTAGGTGGCTCAGTGGCTAAGAGCACTGGCTGCTCTTGCAGAAGACCAGGGCTCGGTTCTCAGCACCCGCATGGCAGCTAACAACCATCAGTAACTCCAGGTCCCAGGGAATCTAATTCTTTCCTCTAACCTCCACTGGCATTGCATCACACATGCACACTTACATACATGAGGCAATATGCTCATACACATAAAAATAAAAATAATGACTAAAATATTAAAAAAGATAAAAATACTCTGTACATGATTGATATAAGTTGATACAGCAGCCACTGGTTAAATGAAATGTAGCCAGTGCGACCAAAGAACTGAGTTTCATAGAACTTAATTTTAATTAACTTAAGTGTAGTTCACCACATGTGCCTAAAGATTACTATATTTGAGCCCTTTTCAACTCTCCCCTTTTAGAAAATGAATCTCAGCTACCACTCAGGAAGTGAGTGCCTGAGTCCGTAACTAAGGAAAGTAGACAGATGAATTTAACTTACATTTAATAGATTCTGTGACAAGTACTGCAGCTAAACTTTCCAAAAGCATTCTCTGTGTGTGTCTGTGTATGTGTGTTTGTACTGAAGAGGGAAGGGAACCACACTGCCTAAGCTGTCAGTTGAGCTGGAGATTTACAGCATGTGTTAGGATTATCCAAGTCTCTTGTAGTGAAATCAAACCTCACCAAACTTTTAACTGAAGTTGCTATTAAGCTTGTTCTTCATTTATGCCACTGGCCATAGAAATCAAGAAAATGGGTCCCCAATCTCTTATGATTATCCTGGAACAAAATGGTTTGAGGAAGGTACTTTGGAGCCTTGGGTACCTTGGAGGAGACTTCTCACAGCTTCTAATAATAATTTACTTTATATAATATAGATTTAAACTTTCCACATCCTTTTATTTATTTCATCAAAGCAGAACAATACAGAAGACAAATCAGAAGCTCTGGAGTGGGGGAGGTTGAAAACCGTGCTTTGCATCAAGTTTGCACAGCCAAGACTCTGCCAGCAACATATTTATTTTAAACACTGTTATTTGGTTTACGTTTTCTTGTGGTTCCGACAATGATATTGCACGCTTCTTCAAAGTCAGGAGAGCACTGTAAGAGTGCATTAGGCAAGAAGACTGCAAGGATAGGACTTGTAATGGTTTCCTCTGGCTTCTCTCACTATGATTCACAAAGGTGTCTTTAGCTGACTTTATATCCAGTTGTCATACCAGTTTCAGATTGACTTGGCCAAATGAATAGGTGGAGTTGCCTCTTTAGGTAAGAACTTATTTTGCTGTCAGGGAGGAGCCTTCTAAGCCCTGCCTTCTCCCTGCCCCCAGAAACAGGCTTTCCCTAGTGGGGGTATTGGTCTCTTACCTGCATGTCTCAAACCCTTTATTCAAGGCCAACTTCATTTGGTCCATGGTAGGCAGGGTGCTGTTGAAAGCCTGGCAGAGGTCAGCCGCCTCTGTCCGAGAGATGCTATAGCGACCATTTTTCTCCACATGGAATACACCTGCGTAGCGGCAGGTTATATTTAAATCTGTGGAATCAAACGGAAATGTTAGAGTCTTTTGCATGAATAATTTGCATAAATATAGATCAATGTTAAGAAGTTCATGCTAGGAAAGACATTTAAAAAGCCAAATAGTGGGGTGGGGTGATAGTTTAGTCAGTAAAGTGCTTGCCTTGCAAGACTGAGGACCTGAGTTCAATCCCTCAGGCCCCACATTAAAAAAAAAAGTAGGCATGGTGGTTAGCACTTGTAACCCCAGGGCTGGGGAGGTGAAAGGCAGGTCCCTGAGGCTGACTGGTCATCCAGCCTAGCTTTCTTGTGAGTTCCAGACCAATGGGAGACCTTGCCTCAAAAAAACAAGATATCTGAGGAATGCCACACAATGTTGTCCTCTGGCCGCTACATGTATGTGCAAACATATGCACATACATGAAAGCCAAAAAACTGCACATGGTAGTTCACATCTGTAATCCCATCACTTGGGAGGCTGAGGCAGAGGATTGCCTCAGGTCAAAGCCAACTGGAGCTACATGATGAGTTACAGGTCAGTCAGAGCTACAGTGTAAGACCTTATCTCAACAACAACAATCTAAATAAACACCTCTGCTGACACAGCCTCCAAAATTCACTCTGACCTTCCAAACAAACATTAGGCTCAAAGCTGAGACATAGCATGATAAAGAACCTTTATCCATCAACTGCTGTGAAAGAATACAAACTCATAGGAAACCAACAAAACACAGGGGAGTAATAAAGCAAAGTTTACTACTAAAAGAACTACACACATATACATATATGTGTATATGCATATATATTATATATATATAGAGAGAGAGAGAGAAAATTGAAATGGTATTAAATACACAGTTCTATATTTAGGAATCTAGTCCCCCACTTAATCTTATATTATGAGCATTTTTCTAATCGTATATTATGAGCAGTGTTTCTTCCTACCTTATAACCACTAACACTATATATTCTGATTGCACCCAGATAAATTTCCTTCTCACGGTCAAGACCAATGTGATCTGGCTACAATCTCTCTCCGTCTCCATCCTTGGGGGTGGCTTGCTCTGCACTAAGTACAAAGTTTTCCTTCAGTTCCATAAGTGACTCTGAGTTCCTTCTTATATAAAAACAGAAACCTAGCCCTGGGCTAGGAGGTACATGGCTTTAATCTCAGCACTCAAGAGGCAGAGGCAGGCAGATCTCTGAGAGATTGAGGCCAGCCTGATTTACATAGCAAGTTGCAGGCCAGCTGGGGCTACATGGAGACCCTGTCTCAAACAAACAAACAAAAAAGAAGATGTAGCTCCTCTATATGGAATGTTCTGTCTGTATAATCACACAGATAATTTTCTCTTATTCTGAATTATAACTCTATAATCTGTCACCTTCCAGTCCTTTCTTGAACATTCTTCTGCAACCCCAGCCTCTCCTTCTCCTCACCCTACTGTTGTCTTTCCAACAGGCACGTTCATCTATTTGTGCATTTGGTTCCTGTCTATCTTGTTTACAGCTGTGTCTGTAACACCCACATCAGTGCCTGACAGAGGGCAGATGTTCATCAAATATTTGTTAAATGAATAACTCATTGAAAGTTTTCCCCAAACGCACTTTTAAAAAAAATGTATTTATTATTTTTACTTTATATGTATTTTAGTGTATTGCCTGCATGTATGCAAGTGCACCCATGTCCTGCAATGCCCACAGAAGTCAGAGAGGGTGTTGTATTCCCGTGGAACTGGAGTTATAAATGGTTGTTAGCTGCCATGTGGATTGCTGGGAGTCGAACCCAGGTACTCTGCAAGAGCAGTCAGTACTCTTAACTGATGAGCCATTTTTCCAGCCCCCAAATACACTTTTAATATATTGACAGATCCCATGACTGCTGTGTAGCCCAAAGCATTCACAACATTGAAAATGAAGCCCAGTTACTGTCAAATGGACAAATAGTTGCTTAATATTTATGAATGTGTTTGGTGAGCTTTGTAATTAACCCAAAATCTTACTTGGGAGCCAGAAATCATCCTGTTGTACTTGATCCTGAGTACCAATCTCAAAAGATGCTAAAAACCTTCATTGAAATTATTACATTGTTTATTATGATGATGATGATGATGATGATGACGACACATCTCAGATTAACCTTGAACTCCAAATGTAGCCAAGAATGATCTTGAACTCCTGATCCTCCCACCTCTACTTCTGAGTGCTAGGATTATAGGTGTGTGCCACCACAGCTGGTATATGCAGTGCTAGGGGCTGTACCAAGGGTAGACAAGCTTCCACCAACTAAGCTACATCACAACTCAAAACCCATTTTTCTTCAGTGCCTCTTATCCCCAGAATGCACTTGAGTAACTTCACCTACAAAGTCAAGTTATTGAAGATGCCCTGGTGAAGCTTGATTCCCTACTAAACACTCTTCAGCCTCAGGCATGGTCCTTCCCCACAGAGACATGTTGACATTGTGTTTAGACAGCGACCCAGGTGCTAGATCAGGAGTAAAAAGCCAGGTCTAGAGTCAGAAAGAAGTGGCTTTCACCCAGGCACTAGATTCTGAGAAGTTCAAGTCATTGACCAAGAAAAGTGAGGGTCAGAGAAGTGAGTTGCCAAAGGAAGTGGGCATTTTTATGTAGAACAACAGGCTATGCCCAAATTCCTCTTCATTCTACATTTCTGAAAGGGCTGCAGAGGAAGAGGAAATGTTTCACTGCAATGGTCCTTGGTATCCAGAACCTTGGGAATTCAGTGCTGAACAGTCATTACCAGTGCCTGAGTTGTGTGTGTGTGTGTGTGTGTGTGTGTGTGTGTGTGTGTGTGTATAATTTTTTTTAAAGTCAAGAACCTGAAGTCCAGAAAAATGAAACAACTTTTCCAAGTCCCCAGCTATTAGCTGGCAAAGGTAGAAACCATCTCAGGTCTGTTTAATCCCCCAAACAGTGTTTTGAACCAATTTTGTATGTGGCCAAGGGTCCTTCATATCTGAACAGTAGAAGGTAGGAGAGACACACCTCCAAACAATAGTTTCATGGTGACAAAGGAGGGCTCATTATTAAGCTGTACAGGTGACAGCTGCTTTCTCCTTGCAGAGCAGGAAGCAGGCTCTGAGCACTACAAAGCAGCGTATACCAGATGCACACCGAGATAGGAAATTCTGTATTATGTTCTTTGATTCTGAAAACAGTACAAGAAGAAATGAGACGCTGCCCTTGGGAAGACGTAAGTCAATGTCAACTGTTTTTCTTTTCCTTGGTTCATGTCATCAGCAAGTAGGTGTTTAAAAAACAGGCAGAACAAACAAACACACAAAAGCCAGCCAAACTCCAGAACCAGATACAAGAAAAGATGTTTTGTGCAGTTAATTCTTTATCTGTGGGGCACAATGTGTTCTCCTAAGCCACTCATGCAACACTTGGCTGATGAGGCAATGAACACACGGAGGAAGGAAATGCACAAGGCCCTTTTGAAATACTATTTGTTTTTACTGACATTTGCAGCTTGGGTCTCAGTTGGCCAATTCACAAAGGGAACCTGTTATTCACAGTGACAGTCCTTACTGAGCCTCTCCGGGTCCAGTGTATGAAAGAAAAATGAAGTGAAATCAGCTTCCTGGAGGTGAGGCTATTGGGGAGACATCAGTTAGATGCCACCTGAGGGTTCCTGGCCCAGGTGGTCACTGTCAACTCCTAGCTTAAAAATAAAGGCTGAGGCCTGGACAATGGTCTGGAGCTGAGTAGCAGTTTCTTTCTTATGAAAATCAGTTCTAGTTTGCCACCTGGCAGACAGAATATGCAAATGCAAGAGAAACTAAACTGAGACTTTTGAGTAAAATCCCTTGAGTTTTGTGTACAGCAACCAGTGTGACTCCACAGTGTGTACAGTGTGTACAAGCATGATGGGTGTGTCTGTAAGTGTGCTGCCACTAAGTATGTGTGTCTGCGGCCAGCCAAGGCTGGCTAAGACAGAAAAACTGAGTCTTTCACCTTGCTAGCTTAACTAGGACCTGACACACTACAGGTATCTACAAAGGACTGACGGGTGAATGGGAAATTCTCAGCAAAATTTGAAGTCCAAGCCTGCATTTATGTTAATCTCCTAAGTTCCAACTCTGGAGGAACTTTAGGAATTACAAAGATGATGCCAAGTACTTCCAGGTCAGCTATCATTTGAGTTCTTCATAATTTCCCCTCCTCTGGGTCCACTTGCCTTAAAATGGCCTAAACTTTCAAGACTGTGTATCACTTAAGCCCTGACCATTTACAAAGGTATTTCAACCGCTTTCCTTAACATTTATATAATCCCAATTTTTACTCTAGAGAGTATTAATAATACCAAGAACAACAATAATTATTTATTATGTATATGTCAGGCACTCTTATAAGCATTTCATGTGTTAACTCATTTTTAACCAGTGAGTAATATGTAATTACCAGGGACTGGAGAGATGGCTCAACAGTTAAGAGCACTGGCTGCTCTTGTAGAGGACCCAGGTGAGCTTCTCAGTACCCACATGATGGCTAACAATTGTCCATAACTCCAGTTCCAGGGGACCCAATGCCCTTTTCTGACCTCCACGGGCATTGCATGACACAGGTGCACTTACATACATGCAGGCAATACACTCATACATGTATAATAAAAATAATAAATAAAATATTAAAAATATTTCATCACCACTTTTCAGGTGGAGAAACTGAGGCACAGAGGGGAGAAGCTATAGAGAAACATGGTTGAATTCACAGATCTGGCAGCGGGAGAGCAGGAGTTCAGTTTCACCCAGACTGGTCTCCACATAGTCACAGGCTTCACCATTATGTGCTACTCTTAGCCTCAAGGGAGGTAACTTCTCTGGATTCTGTGTCTCACCAATGTGTAGCTGGCAGTATTTACAAGTAGCATGAAAGGAAGAGTGAGTGGGAGGAGCATGGACCTCAGCATCTGTAGACAGAGCGCCGATATCCATGGCAATGCTTAGCCATCATTGCTGCAAACCACTGTGGGAGTGGGGTGGGGGAAGTGAG